AGCCGGTAGCCCCCGGTACCGGCCCGTGACAAGGGGTGACAGGATTACTCTGTGACCAGATGGCCTGTTTTGCCCAGGATATATGTCACCCCCCACCTGGTGGTGATCCTGCTCTTCAGCAAACAGAGGAAGACTGCCTGCTCTATTTCAGTACTTTGGGCACAGCACACAGTGATATGGACATGGAGGAGCCAGAAGTGAAAATCCATCAATCCTTCACAGCTCTGGTATCTGTTGCCCTTAGCTAGAGGTTAAGCAATGAGTTTGGGCCATGCTGAGGGAGAATATCACTCTGAGGGAGAAAACCTTCACTTCACCATGCCTGTCCCCTCCCAGCAATCTACAAGACCGAAGTCATCAACAGGGCCACAGCCTCTGATCAGAGATTCTAAGATAATGGCACGAGGGACGCTGGGGAGACAAGTGAGGTGTGCTTCCTGTACAGGGTGAGCAGTACAAAAACGAGAATGTAGTTTCCTGGCCTCACCGAGGCCAGCAGCAACACCCGCATTCAACTCCGCAGTGTATGAAGTACTCTGTATATGTAATTGCAAAGGGGTTGCTTTGAAAAGGCTACAAATCTGCCTGAAGCTGGAAGGAAATCTGAGCCTCCAGCACTGAAAGAACAGAGCATTTTTCTGGTGACTCAGAGGAAGGTCTGAGCCCTTCTCAGCCTCACAACTGCACTTTCCTACTTCATGGTGCACCATGCAAATTCTTCTGGGGAAGCCTGCAATGTTTCTCTGGATGCTGATCATCAGCTTTGCTGCAGCCCTTAAAGGTAAGAGCCTCCCCATCCCTGGGAAAAGGAGATAGACATGGGATTTGTTGTGTTTTCCTCTGTCTGGGACCTGTATCATTCCCAAAATACTTTGCCCTTTCCCATCCTCCCATAGTATGTGCAGATCTTGGAGGACCAATGGACGGATGAAGAGTGGACATAGCCCAGCAGGCAGGTATATGCCTGACCCCACCACCAGGGACAGAGGAGATGTCCACCAGCTCCACGGCTGGGAGTGGTGGGACCCCAAGCTGAGGTCTTTCTGACTTAGGCAGATCTGAGCTCTGTCCTCCCATGGTATCTTGATCCCTCCCTCCAGATCCCCAGAGCATTGCTCAGCCCTGCACTGTCTTGCTGTGGTGGGAATGGGGGGAGCCAGGCTGGTTCTGTACTTAGTTCTAACTGGGTAAGAAAGCAGGGGCAGGATGGTCCTGCTGACATCATGTGTCATCTTGACAATAACTGCAGGAGGTAAGGCAGATCCCAAGATGAGTCCTGGGAACACAGGGCCATTTCTGTGCTCAGGTATTTTCATACCCAACTATAAAGCCTATCCCATGTATTCGTGCTGTCATACCTCATTTATCCACATATTGGGGTATCCAGCCCATGGAGAAAGAAAGGTTGTGTGGGGAAACAGGGATAGTTTGGAGCTTTAACTTCCTTCTGTAACAGGGAGAGGAAGAAGTTGTAGACCACTACCCCCGCTCCCCTCCAACTCTCTCCTTTCCCAAACCAAACACCATGCCCTGGCTGCATGGACAGTCTGTCAGTGGTGGGGAGCAATCCTGAGTGAGGGACACAATAGGTTGAAGTGATAGGGAGCCTTTGGGCACCCTGCACCTATCCCCATGTTACTATGACTGTGGCCATGTGTCTTGGCAGATGTGAGCCCTCAGGTGTGCCTGGTGGCAGGTGGAGAAGGGCTTACAGTACCCAGGACCTCAGTGTATCTCTCCTGCCAAGCCTCTAAACTTTGAGTTTCCCTTGTTTCAGCAGATGCCTACTGTGGAAGTACCCAGTTTCTCTCCAATAGCAACCACAGTTCTTCCATGTTGCAATATGGGGCTGCTGTGGACAAGCAAGCACCACCTCTAGAAGGAGCTCCCAGAGCACATCTCTGGTCTTGCACATCCTGCATTCTTGGGATTCTAGCAGCTACTTCTGCATGTGGGCACTCAGCACAGCTTGCAGGAGCAAGGCAGGGACCAGGCAAAATCCTCATTGAGTCACTGCTCCCCTTGGGACTACCAACTCCAGTGCACTCCCACCTGCCCTCTACTTCTAGCCCCTCCAGTTTCCAACCCGGGGCACTGATGTCTCCTACACAATCACCACAATAAAGAGGATGAGAAGATAGACACCAACGTGGATGCATGAGGAGGAGGAGAAGGCAAACAGCTGGGGAAGAGGGACTGGGGCAGGGAATGCCTCTCTTTCTGCTGAGGCAGGGTTGGAAAAACCTAACAGGGCCCAGGATGATCCCAGTTCTTATCTGTACTCTTGCAGCTTGCAGGGTACGCTTGGACCATGGTCCCACATGGTTGTGGATGAGCACTAAAGATGATCAGCCCACCTGTACCCATGCAGCAGCTCGGGCTAGTTTGTCCCCTAGACTGGTGTTCCCAGTGCTGCTGGGCTGTGTGTGGTGCGGCCAGAAGGGTTCAGACTTCATCTGCCCAATCCAGGTCTTGCATTTCCCTTCTGGGAGTCAAGAGCTGGGCTCTGCTACTCTCTGTGTCCCTTTGAAGTTTAGTTTCTCTTCTCCCTGCCCCAAAACTGAAGGACATTATCTCATAGAGAACACATCCTTGGCTTTGACCTTGTCCTGTACAGCATTGCTGGTAGGTGAGAGCTGTGAGGGAAGGGGAGAGAGACTGGGACTGACCAGGCTCAGGCTGTCCCTTCACACCTTGGCCCACTACTGCAAACTCTAAATGCCACTGCATAAGATGAATCCTAGCATGGAAGTCATCTTCCCTTTTCAGGTGGGGTGGGATGCTGGTGCAGTGCAGAGAAAAGAAGTTTTCAGGTATTTTTCTGAGCATGGAGTAAGAGGGAAGCATTCCTAGACAAAGCCAGTAACTGCCCCAAGGAGCCACACAGAGTCTCACTCTGAGCAGCTTTAGGATTTTCTATGGGCAGGCCATTTCCTGGAGAGGTTTAAGAGCCCCATGATTCTTGTCCCTCCAGGGCTCATGTGCAAATGACAAACCAATTCCCCATGTGTCCATGCCCAGCATGCACTCTCTCTGCACAGGGTTTGGGTCCAGGCATAGCTGGTGAAGGGAGCAGGAGGACGGGAAA